ACTAAGGAAGTTTTAAAAATCTCAGAGAAGGACAAGAAGACAGACTCACGGTAGAAGAGGCGCAGCAACTTTACAATAAATCTATCAAAGATGCCGTAGACTAGGAAGGCGTCGTCGCGATAAGGGTAATTTCCGAGGCCTTTTCGGTCGTATACCTGTGTGAGCAAGGAAGCAGAGAAATGAGATCATGATGGCTTATGGAGTCGAAGAATAAAAGCCTACATGCCATAGTCCTATCAAAAGTAAATAACAAAATAAGGTCAAAAATAGGGTTTCGGCTTGCTAAAAACACACGGAGCGAAGAGGCGAGAGAACACTTCAACTGCTTCTGACCCTAGTATCCCCCGGCATTGAAGCGGATGTCAATGAATGTTCAATGGTTTACTTTAAACTCTCTACCGTCACTTTCCTATCCCAACTGGCTGACATGCGTACGATGAGCATTCTAGACTTACTTGGCAACTGTTAGCTAGTTATCCTGGCGGCGTTCAAGCGTGAACTAACTAGAAATGGGTCCGCAAAAGGATTACTAGGAAAACTAAGGGAGATTAGAATGTTCGTTTGAGCCCGATTTCATGGCCAAGTCACGAAGGCCGGGGGCGAGAGACAGTTTCAGAGACTCCTAAGCATGCCGCCACTCCTGACTCCGATCCCGCGAAATGCAAGTGCCATAGAGGTCACACTAGGAAGGAGCCATTGCACCTTGACTCTCGGTTCACCAGTCAGTCAGTCCATACAAAAACACACAGGGCTTGTGGTGGACACGGTCGACTGGAGCTCAAAGGCAAGCAGAACAGGCACGTTCAGTTATGTCAATGGCCGGGTGGGCGACCGACCTTAGTTGGCTGCAAACGAAGTACCGCTACATTCCCCCGCATAAGTGAATCACCAGTATCCACAAGAACACCTAGAAATAATCATACGCAATCACGAATAGTTACTCAAAACGAGAGGTCGGCTCGCCAGAAGGACAACATCTAATTAACCCTCGGATGGTCAGCTTTACCAAATTTCTCGCAGTGTCGCCAGCAGTGTCGACAACGAAGCTGGAGGAATACAAGTTGATAGCGGGGATAACTTCACTTGCCCCTACTTTTACATGCCTGACACACGTCGTAAAATACCCGACCGACTTATCTGTCTGCCTAGAATCCTGGGTGGCAAAGGACCACTTTGACAGCCCAAAAATTGGTATGTCATGTAAGGAGAGGATGGAGCGTAGAGGCAGTGAAGACCAGCGGTCGTTGCTGACGTCGTACAAGCATTCCAATAGTGATTATCTTTCTACGTAGCACTGACTTATTCATCCGATATCTGGTCCTTCAGCTCAATCGGCCCCTTAGAGAGTGAACGCATGATAGATAGATATTTGAAGTAGGTGTTTCCTCTTTGCTCACACATTAATTTCTAAAGATATTCAAAGGCTAACCCTCGAAAAACGGAGATCACATCTGGCGCACTGAGAGACCGCAATAAACGAAAAGAAGTTCAGGCAACCGTGTCTTACGCCAGCACAAATTGAGCGAAACGCGAGTTTTGGACCTTGGCCGTCACAAGTGCTCTGACAAAGCTCAATGTTGACAGGCATTTTTCGTGAGGTCATCTATTCGCCTGGTTAACGCGGCCCTATGTTTGTGCCCTCCGGCAGTTATACAAGGTCGTTTGTTGTGCGAAAAGGGGAGCTAAAACAAACTCACCCCACGACTTTCACACTCAGCGTAGACATTTGCTTTCACATCGAAGCGCCACTGTTTGAAGGCACGTTTCAGCAACTGTTTGATGCCCTTCTTGGAGAGTTGTATGTTGCGTGCGATCCAGCCCTTGTCAAATATCCAGTCCTTTAATTTGCTGCAAAGTTAAGGAAGACGGCGTGCAGAAAGGGTTACCACGGTATTAAGAAGGCAGATAAGGCAAAAAGAGACACGCACGTATGCCCAGGATACGTTTAAGTTAATTCACATATGGTCAATCAGATTATGAAATGATAATGTATTTAATTTCTCCTCGATTCTTGTGGTCATTGCACAAAATCAGCTGAACATTGTTAAGTAGTTGAGGACGGTCGTCTCATTAAACGATGGAAGCACCTTTCAGGACACCTTTCGGGTAAATAAATAAACGCTTTTTGCGAATAACCAGGTTGCAAAGAAATTTTGCGTTTAGGCATTTGGAATATTTTGGCAGAGAAATGTGTACAAAGTTCAGTTTAAGGCAAACCTTGCGGGGAGCATTGAGAAGTTGCCGATGTTATATTGTATACATTTGCAGAATTAGCGGTTTAATAAGATGACAGGCCCACTTTAATTGCACCGGTAACGACGCGTAAAATCACGAAAGGAATGTGATGTCGCGTGCATAAGCAAACCATCGATGTCTAGGCTAAACAGAATGACCATCGTGGCGATAAGAAACGAAAAGGTAGACACCGTATACGCCCGTACAATCAGGCACCGGAGACGTCGCTCCATTAGGTTTGATTAATCACCTTTGAGGGGGCGGTAGATTGTGATAGGCTTTTTGTCACGGACGTTTCTATTGGTTTGTATTGCCTGGGATGTCATTTTATTAATATACTTCACCCGACATTCATTCCGAGGGAGAGTGCTCTTAACTAAATCAATTTGGGGGACAATTTCGATTTACACGAAAATACTGCTTGTCTTCTGTGAATTGGCATCAAATGCTGAAGGTGCGTGTAACTCCTATTTCAAATTTTTATTATACAGGCCGCTCATCTAAGTACAAGGATGCCTGAGAAACACTGTGTGCGTGTGAGGGTTATCCGCATGGTTGATCGTGCATCTAAATACTGAATGCGCTCTGTGCATAACCCTGAATAACATTTCCCCTTCTATAGGGCTATTTACCACGGGCTGGTGAATCAGAGGAAGCAATGAGATTTGTGTAAGTAAATGGGTCTTATGATCCACCCCATAGTGCGATGACAAAAAACAGTTGGCGATACAATGCCTTGCCCTCTCCCGTTCCCTCCCCCTCCAAATGCCTGACTAGTGCCCCATATAGTGTAGCGTCAATCACACCTGATGAGTTTTCGCTGTTATCCAAACTCACTCGCATCAGGCCGATGCGTATACATAATTGACATTCCCTGTTGTTCATATACTTGCACCCTTCGATTGCCTCAGGTTGATTTCTTATTGAGCCGTTCGTCCTACCACCATGCGGAGTCTGCTGGCAGTGGAGCAGGTCAAAATTTTTATGTTCCTCCCCCTTTGCCCTGCTTAAAATTGTTCCAAGGAAATAAAAACAAGACTTCAAGTTCAGTATACCCTAAAATGACGAACGCTTTTATATGGTTCAGAGCTCGGCAAATTTCAGGGTATACAACTGTCACAGAAAAAAATTTATGTTAATTTTTATGTGGTTGTTGTGGGACGCCCAGCGGCTTAAAATCATGCTCAGGATGCGAGTTTTGAAACAAGCATAAATAAGCCTTAAAACAGTTTATTATAATTGGGTAAAAAAGTGAAAAGCTGCTTTCCATGTAGTGATTTAAAGAAGCCCCGATTTTTTTTCGAAATGATGTTAAGATGTAAAAACCTCTCCTATGCCTCCAACGAGGGAGGTTTTTATTGACATAAATGCGGAAGATAAAAATCAAAGTCTGCCCTATTGAAGCAACCATCGATGGGGTCTATGGATAACGCATATGCAAGAATATAGCGCCGTGGATTACGTAAGGGCTACTACTTCGCCTATATGTTATTTCGGCTTTGAAGGCATGTGTAACTGGTTGTTAGAAAGTTTGCAATACCGTGAACCGCACATTCAAATAGCACCTTATCTGGTTGTTTAGCGATGCTTCTGATAAAGTACGCGACATATTCCATATACATGGCATGTTACAGACTGAGCACAGTATCTACTACGTGGTATAAAAGAAAGTACTATTTTCTGCGGGGACAGATTTAGAAATTTCAGTTGTCCATGTCATTACATTTTCTGGATCGTGAAAGCTGGACGCTAGCCGAGTGGTATCTTCAGATTAGTCGACACCTGTGAGCCGGCGCCCGGCTGCAAACTCGAACTCGGCAAAATAACCGTGCAGGCTTCTCGAGAGCATTCAGCGACAGACATGAACAGGGTGAGCGACAGAATACAGTCAAGTTTAAACTTAGGTCAAACATCGAATGATCGGAGGTAGTATTGGCGACCAAAACTGAAGCACTGGTACAGCAAACATATGCTCAAGAAATGACAACTGGGCACCACGTGGAACGACCACAGTGGCTACTGCATGCTCCTTCGCCAGTACCAACACCTGCTGGACCCGTCT